ACTACTACTACTACTACTACTACTACTACTACTACTACAACTACTTCTACTACTACTACTACTACTACTACTACTACTACTACTACTACTACTACTACTACTACTACTACTACTACTACTACTACTACTACTACTACTACTACTACTACTACTACTACTACTACTACTACTACTACTACTACTACTACTACTACTACTACTACTACTACTACTACTACTACTACTACTACTACTACTACGCGCCAGCACCTAGTTGCGCCAGCATTTTTTAAAATGTTGTGGGATGGCGGAGCGTGTCCGTTGTTCCTTTCAAAATGGCCAGTCTTGTCGTCGACGATGCGAAAGGAGTGGCGGGAATGGGACGCGGCGCACGTCCCGCGCGGACGTCAATGCGGTGTCCTGGGGTATCCTCCACTCGCACTGAAATGCCCCGCGCCCCCCCCGTTGTGCCATCACTGTTTCTTATGTTGTGGGAGGGCGGGTGGGAATGGGCATGCCATGCTTGACCCGCTCGACCTGGCTAGCTTGACACACACACACACACACATCCGCACACATCCCCACACACCCCCACACCTCCGCACACACCCGCACACACACAGACCCCACAGACCCCCAGACCCCCACAGACCCCCACAGACCCCACAGACCCCCCCACACACACACACGCACACACGCACACGCACACGCACACACACACACACACACACACACCACACACACACACACACACACACACACACACACACACACACACACACACACCACGACACACCCCCACACACCACCCACACACCCCCACACACCCCCACACACCCAGGCGCACCCCGACACACCCCGACACACCCCCACACCCCGACACACCCGCACACACCCCCACACACCCTCACACACCCCCACACACCCCCCACACCCCCACACACCCCCACACACCCCCACACACACCCTCCCCCCCCCCGCCCCCGCACCTCCACATCCCCATCCCCCCAACCCCCACCACCCCCACCTACTTCTTACGACGTATGAGTAAACACCCCAAACCCCCACCCAGCCAGCCGATAGCAACCCCGCCGTCCCAACTACGAAAAACAACTGAAATCAATGTTTTTCTCGCCAACATGTCGCCGAATTGCGAAACATGCAGCATGAATGAGACGGAATGAACATCGCTTGGGTAACCCCAAGCGGGTGGTCGCGCCTCGCCCATCTGAAGTAATACAAAGTCAACGCCTTTCTCGTCAACATGGACTTTCGCACTTCGCGCGCTGGACACGTCGTCGCCGACGATGCAACATTAGAGGTCTGAGCGGGGCGCGGCGTACATCGCGCGCGTCCTTTTTTTCTCGTCGACGTTGCTCAATACGCGGCAGGAATAGGATGCAGCTCGTGTCGCGCGCTGAACGTCTAGCCGCCCACGATATAAGATGGGCGACAAGCGTCGGACGCGACGCACTTGCTTCTTATGGTGTGGGAGGGCGGGTGGGGGTGGACGGAGCCGTCTGGCTCGTTCGAGCTGGCTAACTTGACCCCCCCCCCACACCTCCTCACACCCTCACGCCCCTACGGCCCCACACCCCCGCACCCTCACACCCCAACATCACCACCCCCCACCCACCCCCCCCAGCACCCCCCACACCCCCACCTTCCCCACCCCCCCCCACCCCCACCCCACCACACCTTCCCCTCCTTGCCCCCCCCCCCCACGCCCCACCCCCCCCCCCACACACACACGCACACCCACAGCCCGCACACAACACACAACACACACACATACACCACACACAACACACACAGCACACACACAGAGCACACAACACACAGGACACACACAACACACACACACACGCAACACACATACAACACACAACACACACAACACAGACAACCCACACACCACACAATATACACAACACACAACGCACAACACACACAACACACAACACACACAACACACACAACACACAACACACACATACACACCACAACACACCACAACACACACTTGCACACACTTACACACAACACAACACACAACACAACACACAACACAACACACAACACACAAACACACACAATCACGCACGCACGCACACACACACACACGCCAACGCACGCACGCATACACACACGCACACACACGCACACACACACACACACGCACACACGCACACGCGCACGCACACGCACACGCGCACGCACACGCATACGCGCACGCACACGCACATCCCACACACAACACACAACACACAACACACACAGCAAACACAACACACACACACACCCAACAAACACAACACACGCAACACACACACCACAACTCAACACGCACACAACGCACAACACACAATACACACGACGCACATACACCACACACACAACCCACACCACACACACAATGCACAACACACATAGCACACACAACACACACGACACACACACCACACACGTCACAAACACGGCACAAACACAACACACACAACACAACACAAGCCAAAGACACACAACACACGACACAAACACAAACCACACACAATACAACCACACCACACAACATACACAACACACAACACAACACACACCACACAACACACACCACAGAAAAACACACACACAACACACAACACACAACACAACACACAACACACACCACCTACACACACCACACACAACACACACAACACACACCAAACACTCGACACACACACAACACACACAACACACACAAGACACAACACACACCCCACACCCCCCCCACACACACACACACACCACACAACACACACACAACAAACACACCACACACAACAACCACAACACACAACACACACACACACACACTTCAAGTCAACACACACACACACACCACACAACACACAATACACACGACGCATACACACCACACACACACAACACACACACACAAACCACACACATCACACACAACACACACAGCACACACACCACACACGACCCACACACACCACACAAGACACACAGAGACACACAGCACACACACCACACAACACACACACAACACACACAACACAACACAAACCATACAACACACAACACACAACACAAACACACAAACACACACAACACACAGCACACAACACACACACAACACACACAACGCACACGACGCACACGACACACACATACGACATACACGACACACACGACACACCACACACTACACTCCCCCACACCCCCACACCCACAACTCCACAACCACACACCCATACACACCCCCACACACGCCCACACACACCCACCCACACACACACACACCCACACACACACATCCACACCCCCACACCCCCGACACACACAGCACACACAAACACACAGCACACACACACCATACACAAACACACACGAGAACACACGCGGAGGAGCCAGAAGAGGAGAGTAAGCGCAGCACCAGCGGCGGAAGTGAGGCGAGGGCAAGGAGGGAGGCAGCAAGCAGCGGTGGGGGGAGTGGCATCGAGTATAATCGCACATGCAAATATACCTACCACTATGTATTCCAGCACCTTTGCCTCGCGTTCTATTTCGACCTCGGCCTTTGGGGCGCACCAAAGGGCCCCACACACTCGGAAAATTCACCCGTCCACGCTCCGAGATCGAGGATGAGGAAGGAAGGCAAACCAGCGGGCAGCATTAGCGTCAGGAGGATGAGGAGGCGCAATCTTGTGATAACGATCGAGAGCAGGATGAGGGGAAGGGAGGAGCGGATGGAAGAGAGGAGCAGGCCGACTTCAGGGGCCGAGCAGGGCGCAGGCGCAGGAGGACACCTTCTTTGTCATCCAACGGGCTAGCGACTGCTCCTCCTCATCCTCCGTTGAGCACGAGGGAAGCGGGTCAGGGAAGGAAAAGTGTCCTCTCCCAGCACTCTTCTCCCTCCTCCTCCTCCTCCTCCTCCTCCTCCTCCTCCTCCTCTCGGAGGAAGATCAATCGATACAACGGCGGCTCTCCCGCCTGGCACACCTCCGCTCAAAATCGTTTCCCGGACCCCTCTCAGAGTTCATGGCCGAAAACAACGAAAAACTTCCGTCTTGTTTTTCTCGAGACGTGGTCTCCACTTGCTGAAAAGGAACGATAAGGGGGAAGTGGGAACTGGCTCAGGGGGGGAAACACTGACCTGGAATCGGCGATACATCGCCGATGGATTTGCGAAAACCATCCGATAGCGAAACTTTCCGTTCCTGGGCGGGGTGGGCCGGGCTCCTATCGTCGACGACTTGGCAGTGGGGGCCGAAACGTCCCCCCTTCGCAGCGCGCAGCGGGGGAACAGGGGAGGGGGGAAGGCTTCTTAGAATAAGAAGAACACAAACCTACCTCGCTTTTGACCACCCTCGCTTCCAAGAGATACCAAGCGATGCCAAACTACGGCCTGTACTGGTCAGGCCGCTTGACGAGGGGGCGCGTGGTATGACTTGGTTTTGCCTGGAAGCGACAGCGGGGTAGGTAATTCACGCTCCGATAGAAGGAGGCTGCTCCTTAGAAGGCGCGGGCCTCGTCTACAGAGGTGGGGCCAGCGCCTTCAGAAGAAGCGGCCTCCTTCTGCGAAGCCTTCCCCTGAGCCTACACTGATCTTAAGTCGGGCCTGTCCCCCTACAGGGGGATTTTCGACGAAAGATAAAAGAAGACCCCCAGAAACAATCAAACAATAAGATGGGGACTGTTGTTTGAATCTGCCTTGACCTTTTTGGGGTATTATTGGGAGTATTTTTCATTATTCGTCGAACATCCCCCTGTAGAGGGACACGCCCGACATAAGCCTACGCTGATCCCCCCACGACGGCGCCCCTGACTCGCCCTCCTCCGATCCTCCCGTGAGCACGAGGGAAGCGGGTCGGGGCAGGAAAAGGGTCCTCTCCCAGCACTCTTCTTCCTCCTCACTCCCCCTCCCCCTCCTCACTCCTCCTCCTCCTCCTCCTCCTCCTCCTCCTCCTCCTCCTCCTCCTCCTCACTCCTCCTCCTCCTCCTCCTCACTCCTCCTCCTCCTCCTCACTCCTCCTCCTCCTCCTCACTCCTCCTCCTCCTCGCTCCCCCTCCTCTCGGAGGAAAACCAATCGATACCACGGCGGCACGACGGTGCCCCCGACGCGCCCGCCTCCGATCCCCCCCCCCCCCGGGCGCCCCCCTCGGCCCCCGGGGCGGGGCGAGCGGCCGGGCTTTTCCGCCGCGAGGCCTCCTCGGGCAGCTTGCCGGGGCTCTCCTGATCGTCGCTGTATCTGTACCACGCCTCCGGCCCGCGCGCCGCAGGCAGGCTGGGTAGTCGAAGCCAATCTGGCAGGCCCAATCTGGCAAACGGGGGCAATCTGGCGAGGGAGCCAGCGCGAATCCAGTCTGGCGAATAACCCAAATCATCCAGTTTGGCCGGGCCAGATTGGCCCGTGGGGCCCAATCCAATCTGACAGTCTGGCCTTCGACTACCCAGGCAGGGGGCCACCCTGCGAACCCCGCCCCTATGCCCCCCACGATCTCTGAGAGGGGGACGGGGGTTCGCTTCGCTCAGGAGCTCCCGAACGAAGCGAGCCCCACCCTCCCCCTCAAACTCGTGGGGGGCAGAGGGGCTCCTGAGCGAAGTGAACCCCACCCTCCCCCTCAAAGTCGTGGGGGGTAGGGGCCTAGGGGTAGGGTTCGCAGGTGGCTCCCTAGCGGGACCCTCTCCCCTCGCTCAGGTGCGCTGTGTGGTGGGGGCGTTGTCCAGGAGGCGTGCGTCCAAGAGGGGCGGGCTGGCGGAAAACGGCCCGAGGCACGTCGAGAGTGAACTCGTGAGACTTCTTCGTAGGAGCCAAAAGGGGTCACTGAGTCCGACAAGAGGGCCATTTCGGTGATCTTCTAACCCGGGTCAATCCAGACCCGGGTCAGCAGGAAACCAAAAACTGTAATGCAGGAAAACAAGAACTGCAACGCAGGTCTTCGCAAACCCGGGTCAGCCACTACGAGCGGCCGCCTCGCGGCCACGAGCGGCTCGCTAACCCGGGTCAGCCAGAGGGGGTTTTCGCAGGATCCTGCAGGATCTGGCGCCCTGGCTGACCCCCGTTTGCATTGACCCCCGTCTCAAGGCTCCCGACCATTATCAAATCTCAAAACGCTGGCCAGTTTTAGGGTCCCAAAACGGCGCGGTGACAGACCGCGCGATGACCTTGAAATTCAGTAAAATTCCACCGCCAAATGTTATCAGTCACCGCACGGTTTTCGGTCTTCGGAAGCCCCAATCGCCCGATACATCCTTGGAAAACGGCCCAAGTCCCAAAACCGCGCGGTCACCCCGAACCAATACTGACTCACCTCACAGTGTGGTCACAGTACCGTTCGGAGGCCCCCGACAAGCGCGGGGCAGCTGGGACCGAATTCGGAAGAGAGACATCTGTCGCACACGTCAGAAATGACCGATGTCTCGTACACCCGCCTTCAAGCATATTTTAACATCCCAACTGACCTGGCGCGAACCCCACTGGTAGATGTACCCCCATTGGTGAAGGTATACACTGCCCCCTCTGGGTTTCGAGGGGCCCATCCCCAACTGGGGTGGTGGGGTGGTGGGGTGGTGGGGCTGAGATACCATGGCATTGTCAGAGATAACAATCAAGACGCGGGATAGAGAGATCAGTTAACTGTGGATGCGAACTCTATCCAACATTCAGGCTCGATAGCACCTCTCGGGCGAAAGGTAATCACGTAGGATAGCGCAACCTCGAGCCAGGTAGCGCTGGGCTGAGGCACGACGTTCGCTACGCAAGCCCCAATCAAGCCCCCTTTTGACCTCTGTCAGAGTCAGGTGGGGAGGAACCGAACGTGAAGCCAAGTCTCTGTATAGATCACATTAAGCAAATCAGTACGAAAAGGATGTACAGTTTATTCGGCATCCTTCAAAACGCAAAGGTCAAGGCAAGTAGAGGGAAGCACAGGGTATCAGGGTCGGTAGTGGGCAAGACCACACGACCGACCGCAAGTAATTATGGGCGGCCATGGGCAACGCCGCATGACCGACCGCAGATAGTTATGGGGACGTCTGACCAAACTGTCAAACGTCCATGCGCGCGGAGCAAAAAAATGCCTGACCAAACTGTCAGGCATCAAAGCTGGGCACAACAAATGATTGGCCCTGTCCAGGCTGATGCTGGTACGTTGCCCGTGTCCGAGCATCTGTAGGCTGTGGCTTAACCGACCGTATACCGTATCCGCTAGCAAGGCAAGGCTGTGTTTGTGCTGCTTGTTCGTTGCCACGGTATGGTGTATACCTCTTTACTTCGTATTTCCATGTGTGTTCCTCCCGTTACTTGCGCGAATAGCTTACGATCAATGCAGCCTTTGGTATGACCGTCAGCTGTCATATCCCGTGTATCACACCACTGAAGGCTGTGAACGATTCCTCGATCCATTACTTCTCGAATCCAGCGGGTACGCCCTCGCGAAATATACGCGGTTGTTTTCTTCAGGTCCTTACTTGATATTGGCTTGAAGACTGATTCGGCAACGATGGTGAGTATAGCTCTTATGCTTAAACCACCGATCCGTAAGATGTCATTGAGTTGCGCTGGCGTTAGTGGTCCAGCAATGAGCGCGTGTAGCGTTGCAATGGTAGGGTAGCAGTCTTCCAAGTTATGGGCAACTGCTGAGGCTTCAGCTGAGTTGCTAGAGCGTGCCTGCAAACGGCGTGACTGGCAGTGCGCGTCGATCAGGCGTGGTACTGCGCGCGCAGTAGGAGGTCGGCCCTTCGGATGCCGTGCCCCTTAACTTCGTCACCAGCCTCGCCGCTGAGGCGACGACGGATAGCCAGGTTCACTATACAGGTCCACTTCTTCTGTCGGAGCCATGAACATGTATGATGTCTTTTTCTGGGCATTGTTACAATTTGCGCGTTGCGGCGTTGAGTCTCCGCGCTTGCAGGTTGGCTCGCACTTGGGCGCGTCCACATATGCATCTAGAACCATCGCGCGCGCTTCGCGCGCGCTCAGGTTCTAGCCCCGGCCGGGGAGGCGCTGCGGCAGCGGCGCCGGCCCCGGGCGCCCAGACCCGGTGCACCTCGAACGGGTCGTGCCGAACAGGGACTTCAACCGACGGCTCCCGGTAATGTTCGCATTCGATCCACCCGAGTCGGCGCGCCCCTGACACGGGTCTTGGCCCACAAGAGGATCCACCTACGGCCACAGAGAGAAGGTTCGCATGGCATCTTGGATGCCTCTCTCGCCGGCGCCTTAGAACCAAGTTATGAGCCTCTTGGGGGCCTCTTGGAGGCCTCCTGGGTGCGTCTTGGGGTGCTTTGGGGGGCCTCTTGGGGCCTCTGGGAAGCCTGTCGGCGCCTCCTGGGGCTCTTGGGACCGAAAGCTCGGAAATCGAACGTGGCTGTCTTTTTCTGGGACCCCTCTCGGGCGCTTCTTGGGCTTCTCTTGGGCCGTCTTGGGGGCCGATTGGGCCGTCCTGCGTTCCTCGTAGGCCGTCTTGGAGATTTCTTGGGAGCCTCCTAAGCCGCTTTGGGGGGCCTCTCGGGCCGTCTTGGACGCGGTGACAGCCCACGAGCCCAAGAGGCGAGCATGCGACAAATATCGTCTTCCCATAGGAATGGGAGGATTTTCGTTTCTTGGGGCTCTCTTGGGGTGCCTCTTGGAGCATCTTGGGGTGCTTTTGGGGGCCTGCTTGGGGCCTCTTGGGGGCGCATCGGCGCCTCCTGGGATCTCTTGGGGCCGAAAGCTCGGAATTCGAGAGTGGCTTTCTTTCTCTGGGACTCCTCTCGGGCGCGTCTTGGGGCTCTCTTGGGCCGTCTTGGGGGCGCATTGGGCCGTCCTGGGCTTCTCGTGGCACATCTTGGAGCTCTTTTGGGGGCCTCCGAAGCCGTCTTGGGAACCCCATGGGCCGTCTTGGACGCGATGGCAGCCCAACAGGCGAACATGCGAAAAATATACGTTTTCCCAAAGGAATGAGACGATTTTTGTTTCTTGGAGCTCTCTTGGGGTGCCTCTTGGAGCGTCTTGGGGTGCTTTTGGGAGCCTTCCAGGGGGCTTCTCGGCACCTCCTGGAGCCACTTGGGGTCGAAAGCTTGGAATTCGATGGTGGCTTTCCTCCTCTGGGGCCCTCTCGGGCCCGTCTTGGGGACTCTCTTGGGTCGTCTTGGGCCCTTCGTGGGCCGTCCTGGAGCTTTCTGGGGCTGTATTGGGGCCCTCTGGGGCGCGTCCTGGGCCGTATTGGGGCGGTTTTGGGAGCTTCTGAAGTCGTCAAGCACGGACCGACAGCGAAAACAAGCAATATGTTTAAAATATACGTTTTATAAAGGGAATGGGGCTATTTTGGCCCTTTGGGGCTCTCTTTGGGGCCCTATTGGGGGGTCGCTTGGGGTGTCTTGATGGCTTCTGAAGCCGCCTTGGAGGCCATGTTGGGCGTCTGGGAGTGACCTTCGGGCGTCCCGGGTCTGTTCTGGAGCCTCTTGGGGCCTCCTTGGTGCCTTCTGGCTGTCTTCTGTGAGGCCCCGGGGCTCCCCGAGGGCCCCGGGGCCCGCATTTGCGGTAGCGGCGCCGGCCCCGGGCGCCCGGGCCCGGTGCGCCGTTATATGTATAATGTGTCGACCATGCCTGCGTGATCAACGCATAAGCTAACGCACCGCGTAGGCGGACGAACATATCAGGTGCCGTTGTCTTCGCCCTCTCCGGCTCCAGCGCCAGCCCTGGATGCTGTGCGGGGCGAAGCTGTTTGATGTATTCATCTCGGTCAATCCGGAGGCGGCCGCCCTCGGTTTTGGTGTCGCGGGCGGTGCAGTTGCTGTAGTTGTGTTTATTGAGCTGACATGCACCAAACGTGGTTGTTATGCACTTGGCGTATTTGCCAATCGCGTCCTCGACCCCTGCCGTAGTTATGTCAAAGTGTTTGGCTGTTGGGATGTTTGGGCTCGTCGAGAATTCCTCGTCGCATGACGTCGGTGCAAGCCCGCGGCCCCTAGCGATGCTCTTGAGATTCAGCGAACGCGCCCGAGGGGGCGGTGCCCGCGCCCGGCTTCAGACACTGCAAGCAGCGCCTCGAGTCGTCGCAAGACGCGAAGGCTGGCAGAGCGCGCGACGCCGACGCTGAATCAGGGGGGAGAGTGAAGCACAACATCGTTCTTTCTCTTCAGTAGCCTCAGCTAATTCACAATAGGCCGAGCCCTTCAAGAAGCCGTTGCCAACGTGCATGGCAGCTGCGACCCACGGTTTCTTGCGCGCGGCCGCGCTTGCGAGCGATCCCCGACTTGCCCGACGAGCTGCGCCTCAGAAAAGTCTCTACGTTGAAGGCTTCGACATCCATTGGGCCGCGAGGGGCCAAGCGAGGTGCGATGGTTCGTTCCATATCACCCTTCTCTCTCTTCGCGAACTTCAATATGTGCACGTATCTAGATGTCACATTGTTAATGGCATGTAACCTCCTGCTACCTAGAGCAGTGCTTGTAATGCCATAATTTGTGTAAACGGTTGGATATGTGAGCCGTAATCGCATGAATGTCGGCCGTCGCCAGGGGGTCGTCTTCCTTGCCGGCCGGGGCTCTCCTGGCTGCGCCTGACGCCTATGCGCGCGTAGAGGTTATCTGGCCGTTGCGGGGTGAGGTTGTTGCTGTTCCGTCAGCGCAACCTTGGCCGCGTCAATAGTGAAGCAGACATCTATATACTGGCCGTGTTCGTCCGAATCCAAGTCGTATGTTTCGTCGCACTCGGCGATGCCAGGCGCTGAGAATGTCTCGTCAATATCACCGTGGTAGTCACAGCCTGTTCCATGCAAGTGTCCACGCGCCTCGCTGGCCACAGTCGCGAGCGCGCAGTTTTCCGGAAATAATTTCCGCGGGGACTGAGTATCAATATTCTAATGGGGTTGTCTCCAGAAATTCCTTGCCTCCTCGGAGGTCAGTGCGCCGCGTTTTCATGATGCGTGCTTCTATGTCCATCTCCGGATTTCCATTGAAGGTCGGAAGGCTACCATCGGGCGCGGCCGGAAGTAAGGTTTGCTCCTCCCCCTGAGCATTGCCGCCCGGTGCTGGCGCGCCCACCAATTCCTCTAAGTTAGATGGGTATTCGTCATAACCTGCTATCGTTCATGGTGATTTGAGGCGTTGGATGATGCGTGCATATGTGGATCCAATAATGTCGTGGATGTGAAGGGCTGTGCCTTCGAATTCGTACCGGTGGAATCCCGGCGCGACGTCGTTGTCGTTATGTACCAGGGCACAACTGTCAGCGCACGGTGCTGCAAATTACGCTTCCCCATGTCCCCTCCCTTGGGGCGCCGGCTGGGATTGTTTTTCGCTCCCGCATGAGTTACGCGTCGTGCGTTGGCCGTTTTTGTCCATTGGGTTTAGCTTGCGTCCCTTGCCTGCGCCTGCGGTGCGCCAGCGACCTCTGCATTTGCCTTTGCCACCAAGGTACAGGTCCTCAAAGTCGTGATCCGTGAGTCTGGCTACGGGCTACGGACGCGGCAACTCCTTTTCTGCGCAAGCAATGGGCGCGCCCGCCACCCTTCCCGCGACCCTTACCCTTGCGAAAAAAGAAGCGACGCACTGCTCGCCGAAATATCTTAACAGGCTTCTTTCAGATGTCGTCTCCACCCTCTCTTGGCATGATGGTCGCCTAGGTGCAAGTATTCTCCGGTCGTCGTCGGCAGGCTGATCTGACCAGTCAATAGGGTCTACGCCAACTGATGAGCAGGTGTCGGCGTCTGCGCCACCGTCAAAGAGCTCGTCCTCCGGTTAATTGAACGAACCCCAAAGGGGAAGTCGCTTCGGGAGGCGTGTAGCTGGCAGCTGAGGGCCAGCCCACGTTAGGGCCAGAGGCCTGTGCGTTGCGGGCCTCTTGGCTTAAACATGTCGTGTATTCGGTGGGCTCCCCATCATTCCAGATGTTATCTGACGTGGCATGGGTGTTATCTGACGTGGCCTGGTGCGTCCGTTACTTTGGCATGATAAGTGCTGGCGTCGCGGCCGCTGACTATGCTCTCGATGTTTCCTGGGCGCGCTCAGCTAGGTGTCCGTAGCTGCGCATGCGTTCCAACAGTGTGTCGTATTGTTGTTGAGTGCGGGCCACCTGGTGGTTAAAGGGTTGTAGTAGTTGCGATGCTCGGGAGGTGCCTACTCAAAGAGCACGGGACAATATAATCGTTCGGACCTGAAAATTGGGCATGTTGAAACCAACCGAATATGTTTCAGCCTGGCCATTTCGACTCGGGCCAATACTGAATCGATGCGTTCGCCCCTTTCGACCCTGAAATCGACGAGGGCTCGGAAGAAGTAGGTGGAAACATGAAGTAGGAAGGCGTTATCAATAGATTGGGTGTCCACCCGCCCCCTGAAGAGGACGGGAAAAGGTGAAACCACTCGATCGTTGAAGTAGGAAGGCGCAAGTATATTGGAACCTGGGACTCCAAAAATACCTAGTTGACGATGGTGGACGGCACCCTCATGGCCAGGCTCCTGGCGAGGTCCCCTAGGCAACGCTTTAGCGCGGCGGCCTATTGAAGTGGAGTCATATTTCCGCTTGTGACGTTAATCCACGCGTGTGCTTCACGAACGAAGTCACATAAAGGTGCGTTGCCAGCAAGGTCCCCAGTGGGGGTCCCGAGTGCGTCTTCCAGTCCTCCCTGCGTGTAGCCCACTGCCAAACCAAGGCGCACCCACAACATTTCATAGATAATGACCTTGACGTAGTGAATGTTCATATAGTAGTTGATGGCGTCATGGTCAGTGTCTGTGGTGGCTGACGTACCCGCCCGGTTGCGAATGGGTGCATGGTCTGGCGTAGCCGTCAGCTTGCGAATGGATGTGAGGGTTAAGCTTGCCTGTGGTGTGTGGCCAAGCGGTGGGGATATGGAGGAATATGACTGCACTCCGTGTGCCGTAATAAGGGGCACCCAGGACCAGATCTTTGAGGCAATTTTTCGAAAAGGGGGGAGGCACGATTATTAGGCTGGGCTCGCGTGACTGAAGCAGAAGGGGGCCGGATTATTTAAGCACCTTTAAACTGATTATTGTTGTAAGGATGTGCGTTGCGCGCCGCGCGTTTCATCGCGACGGTGGTGGCGCGCCAGGGTTGGGACAATATGAGGGGCATATCTGATGGATCGCACACACATTATGACCGCCGTCGTTCTCGCCACCACCATCTTCATAACAACCCGCACCACCAATGCCATCATTATCATCACCGTCACGTTTTCACTCACGATCATCACCGCCATGCCCACCGACATAAGTCAAAGTCTAAATCTTCCCGGGGGGTCAGAATATTGATGCGCCTCACTCGGATGGGGGGGGCGGATTATCAAGCAACCTCAGCATGGGGGGGGGATTTTTAGGGGAGGCCGTTTATTGAGGCACATGGAATAAATTACCAAGTGGTTGAATAGTATTGGGGGCGTACCGGCTGATAGCTGGCGCAGATAGGTATGCCACTGTGCCGTGATAAATTGTGATGTGCATAACACCTACTGCAAGAGCACGAGGCCAGCTCCCATGAAAAAGGGGGTCAGAAGGGTGTGCAAGCCAAAACCCTTCTTATGATGGCGTCGTAGAAGTATCACGGTATCCCATATAATCCCCCTTTTGGATGGGCATGACGAGAGATATGAGACAAGACATGAGTTAGAGAGATGACCCATCGGTGGGTGTGGCCGTTATCCAACACTCGGGCTCGATCGTACCTCTCGGACAAGAGGTAGTCATATAGGAAAGCGCTACCTTGAGCAAGGTAACGCCAGACATAGGCACGGTGTTCGCTGTACAAGCCCCCCCTTCGACCTCCTTCACAGTGAATCGCGCGGCAGCATAACCGCTCTGACATGAACTGGGACGGTGTGACTACAAAGCGCAACGAATAAATGTGCAATTCCCGCCGCCCCGTCCTCGTCACACTTCCACGCGTGCATGTGCAGCAGGGCGATGACAAGGCACTCGTAGCAGATCAGGGTGGAGTAAGTAACGTTTGCCTGTTGCAATTGTTATCCTCCCGCCTCTCCTTCTTCTCATCATCACCCCATGGCGGGGTAAAGCAAGCGCAGCCCGAGACACGCTGACGAGCATAATTGCGCACATGGCCAACCGAATATATTTAATTGCGCCCTTAAACGAGCCGAACGCCATTGACAGAGAGAGAGAGAGAGAGAGCTCTGCCACCGTGCCTCGAGGCACGAGTTGGAGTGTCCTCAGATCTTCTTTGAAGATTGAGGCGTCCAGGTGGCCCCTCCAAGAAGCCTCCACACAACCCAGGCACGGTGGCGGGATCCGCCGAAGGCCACTCGATACTTGTAGCACACGGAGAAGCAAACAAAGACTCGGTGGATGAGGCTGAGCAGGCTGCGCACGAAAGATGCAATATCTAGACCTTGAAAGATGGACGGGCTGGCACATGCTTCCTCTCAACCACCGTTCTCCTCCAAGTGATGCGTGGGAGGCTACCGTGCCATAAAACAGGGAGATACCATCTACTTAAGCTGCGACTCTTCCAATTATGTACCCCCAACCCTGATTCAATCCACAAGACTTTCCCTGGAGATGGAAGAGGGCGGAATGAGTGGGAATTGATGCACGAAACAATTTCACCATGGAGTGGAGCGGAACGGACGATGTGGTGGGGGAAGAACGAGTGAAGGGAGGTGGAGGAATTGCCTGCACAATTGTCATGTCCTTGAAGGGCGGAACCGGGATCATGAAGACTATGGTCTGCAAGAACGCAATGGAAACTAGTATCTTCGTGCCCCAGAACCTCCCCTCGCCCACGCCCCTCACGACTCTCTTCGTCTTCTCTTTATTTGTGTCGCATTCAACATGCAACCAACGCTGCCGAACAACTGGACTTTCTGATGGCCAGCCGTTCACAACTTGCAAAAGGACTGCAATTGCTGGTCACACGCCGCATCTTGCGAAAAGGCGTGACATGCGGTGTAAGGCGGCAGTGGGTCTGGGGTACTCGGAGACAAGTTAGCCGACCGTTGCAGGATATGTGCGACAACCCGAGGTCAACACAGACTACGTCTCGGGTGCACTTCTGAAACGACCATCTCGCTCGCCATCGGATTTGGTCACACGCCGAATCCACTCATGAAAGAACTACTCCCGTCCACAATGTCGGGCGCGGCCTAGCAGACCCACTCCGTAAAGATGGGTGGCTCGCACAATGAGGCAGGGGGGAGGGGGGAAGGCTTTTTAGAGGGAGGCTGCTTCTTAGAAGGCGCTGGCCCCACATCTACAGACGAGGCCCAGGCCTTCGAAGAAGCAGGGGTGCCTCTAGGAAGCCTTCCCCCCTCCTCCTACCCCCCTCCGCGCGTGGCCGACAAGGAGCCCCCTCCGTGGCCACCCCCCTCACCCTCGAGGTTCCCTCCCGCCGCCTGCCGGCGTCTTGGAGCGAGGCGAGAGGGGGGGTCATCACGAAGGGGGCGGTCTGCTGAGGGTCGGGCCAGCCGCCCACCCTGACCAAGCTAAACCCGCCATCGAGGAACAGACACAGGAGACGTTTCTTCCGGTCGACGGCCGACATCCATCGGGCAAGCCAAATCAGCCGCGACCCCGCCGCGGCTGTTGTGTTGGGCCCCTCTCCAGGCGGGCAAGAAAGAGGGTGAGGAGGAGAGTAGGAGGACTGGGACGCGTGAAAATCAATCTGAAAACACCAGCCGTCCGCTCATCAGAACACGGGCCACACTGGGAACGAGCAGGCGCCAACGAAGCGGAAGAGACTGTTTGCAGGTAGTCCTTGCCTGGGCGAAGGGATGTGTCCAGGAGGAGAAGCAGGAGGAAGGAACCCAAGACAGGAGAGGGAGGGAAAACATAATACGCAGAAGAGAAGCATAGCACATTATCAGCAACAAATCGAAGTGAGCGGAAGGAAAAGAGAGCGATTGGCTGCATCCCCAATGCCGGCACAGGTGCGCCAAACGAATGTCGGACTACCACACGCAGACATGCATCTCCGATGCTACGCGGAGTGACGCGTGCCAAGCCATGCCACTTCAGGGCAAAAACCTGGTGAGGCTGCCCAATCAAGAGAGGGGCCCGGCGTCTTGGACTCAAAACATGAAGCGCAAGGCCGAAGCTAAGCCCACCCGCCCCATCGAGGCCAACATGCGCCCAACCCTGGGCTCCCAGCCAAGGGTCTCCGACGACCCACTGTCTTCGACCCCCCAGCTCCAGAGCTCTCGAGAGGGTTCCAAAAGGGCTCTGTGGGGAGGGGGTGTTCCAGGAGGGGTCCCCCAGGGGCTTCGCACCCCCTGTCTTGACAAGGTTCCGAAGCCCTTGGGGGGCTCTCTGGAAAACCCCCTCCCCAAAAGCCTTCCGCCTTCCCATGGACCCGTCTTCATCCTGAGCCGTTTCTGGCGGCGCGCGCGATAGGGGGGCGGCGCGGGAGGGGCTGCCGCCCGAGAAGGCGGGGCGATTCCTTGGAACGCACGGGGGCGTCTCCGAGGCTGGGCTCCCAGCTTCTCCGCAGGCTTCTCTTCGAGGCCTCCGGGCCTTTCCGAGGCAGGCCCCTGCCTTCAGACGGCCGGCCCCTCGCGCCGCCGCCCCGTGCGCGACGCCACTGCTGCTGTGAAGGCCCAGGGAAACGCCCCCCGGATGCCGAACACAGTCTTGAAAAGCGCCCCGCGCGATGTCCGTGGAGCCGCCGGAGAGGTCTCAGGGGAGGGCTGCCCCTCGGCCCTCTCCGATCCCACCCCTTCGCCAGCCACGGGTGGTAAGCAGGAGTGCGGATACTGGAAGACGCGTCGCCGGCCGACCTGGGCGCTGCGAGATTTCACTTGGACGTGGGTTGGCGTCGAGCCCTGCCTCCCTGGAGACACTACGGCCGCAACGCGCGACGATGGGGACCGTGCGAAGGCTCGAAACCAAGCGATGCGTGGGCGCTGCTTTTGACGGGGCCCGGGGACACACAAATAAACAGACACACGTAACAGGATTCCCCATACCTTCCCATATTTTCTGTTTTTGTCTTCCCCCCAATTCCCATATTTTCCCATATATTCTTGGGAATCGACGATTCATTGTGTTTGTGTTTTTTCCTTCCTGAAATAAAACGGGGGGGCGAAGAAACGTGCACCTTCGTGTCGGGCGTCTCCCCCTACAGGGGGATTTGCGACGAAAAATAAGAAGTACGCAGAATTACCCTGTGACGTACCCAACCCATTTGTATCATGGGAAACGAGGAGCTGGCCGAAACTTGCACGAACCATCAAATTGCAGGATCCGTTGTTTGATATGTAAGCTACTTGGGACACGCGCCAATGGCATGATGCGCAGGAAAACCATACAAGAACGAGGGGCGACAACTACAAGCTCGAGGAAGACATGGGGAGTCGGGAACGAAGAGCAGGAGAAAGACGTGCGGGAAACCCTCTGAGCTGGGCCCCCCAGCAACCCTCGAAAGTGGCGACAATTTCACAGATCGCAGCCCCCCAAGGATGGCGAGGGCTCAATTGGAGTCCGCCGTGGGTACCCACTGTGCTGGGCCCCCCAGCAGGCCTCGAAAGTGGCGACGGTTTCACAGATCGCAGCCCCCCAGGGATGGCGAGGTCCAGTTTGCATCCGCCGTGGGTACCCTCTGAGCTGGGCCCCCCAGCAACCCTCGAAAGTGGCGACAGTTTCGCAGATCGCAGCCCCCCAGGGATGGCGAGGTCCAATTTGAATCCGCCGTGAGTACCCACTGCGCTGGGTCCCCCAACAGGCCTCGAAAGTGGCGACAATTTCACAGATCGCAGCCCCCCAGGGCTGGCGAGGTCAAATTTGAATCCGCCGTGGGTACCCACTGTGCTGGGCCCCCCAGCAGGCCTCGAAAGTGGCGACAGTTTCGCAGATCGCAGCCTTTCAGGGATGGCGGGGTCCCATTTCAGTCCGCCGTGGGTGCCCACTGTACTGGGCCCCCCAGCAGGCCTCGAAAGTGGCGACAGTTTCACAGATCGCAGCCCCCGAGGGATGGCGAGGTCAAGTTTGAGTCCGCCGTGTGTACCCACTGCGCTGGGTCCCCCAGCGGGCCTCGAAAATGGCGACAGTTTCACAGATCGCAGCCCCCCAGGGATGGCGAGGTCCAATTTGCATCCGCCGTGGGTGCCCACTGTGCTAGGCCTCCCAGCAACCCTCGAAAGTGGCGACAGTTTCGCAGATCGCAGCCCCCCAGGGATGGCGAGGTCCAATTTGAGTCCGCCGTGTGTACCCTCTGTGCGGGGCCCCCCAGCAGCCCTCGAAAGTGGCGACAGTTTCGCACATCGCAGCCCCCCAGCTGGCACGCAGCGACGAGCGAGGCAACAGGCAAGGGGGAAGAGAGGGGGGGGGAAGGAGGCAAGGAGACGCGCGAGCAGTGCTCTTTTCAAAACGAGAACCCAACGCAGGAGGGTTGGGAAAAATCAAAAATGGTCAACACACAAAAAAATATGCCCCTGACTATTTTTGACTATGTTTGAATATTCCTCATGTCAAGTGACGGGCCCGACTTAACCCTGGTGGGCCCAAAAGGGGGCCCCGAAGATGCACTTCCCTTTGCCCTCCCATGGATCACGCGGCGCCCGACGGAGACGCCTGTGGTCCTCGCCGGGGCCTGCTGCGGCCGGCGCGTTCTGTTTCGCGGGACGCAGGAGACCGTTTCTTCTGAATCGGCGATAACCCGGTTATCCCGGAGGGGGGGGAGGGGGCCAGCCGATAACCTAACCCTCGCGCTGGAGACGTCCTCAGGGGCGACCGCAGACAGACCGACCCTGCGCCCGGCGGGGCCGTCTCTTGCGCGGGTCTTCGGCTGCCCTGCGGCTGGCGCCAGGTTTGTTCATTGCGAGGATTCTGTCGCAGCAGCCTCTCCGACCAGCCACTTCGCACGACTCCGGACCGGAGCCTGGGCCGCTGCACCGGCGTCAAGACTTGCATGATCTGAGCGCTTCGTCTGTCCGCAGTAACCTCTCCGCGGCCGCCCTCGTCTTCCCCCCTCTGCGGCGTGAGCCCACCTCCCTGGAGACTGTTTGTGTAAGGGTCGGGCGATAACCCGCGGTATCGGGCTTGCCCCCCCCCCCCCCCTCCTCCCCCCCCGCCCAGGATAACATAGGATAACCTAACCTTGCCGGTTGTGCAGGTCTGGGGGAGATCTGACAGTTTTTTCCGCTGGAGGCAAGGAGCGCGGAGGCCCAGAAACTTGGATGCAGTTCTCTGTCCCTGGACGGCCGCGAAGCAGCCCAACACGGCCCGACCACCGCCTCGGGGAGCCCCCCTGGGTGGCCCACCCAGGCGCTCTCCAGAGGGCCCCCGGATTCTGGAGAACCTTGGGCCAAATTCTCAAATTCTCCCAGTCCTGAACCAATTGGGCGTTTGTTTTCGCTGGAGGCGACGCGTGCGAAGGCCCCCTCCCCCTCCCGAACGCGCGCGGAGCGCGCCAGGGGCGGCGAAGGAGGCGCCGCCCGGAGGGGGGGGGGCAGCGCAGATCCGAGAGACCGCGCGGACCTTCGGACGTCGATGGTCATGCCGCTGGCTTCTTCTTCTTCTTCTTCTTCTTCTTCTTCTTGTTCTTTGATCAACGGAGGAATGGTAGCCCCTGGGAGGAGGGACGGGCGCCGAGGTGACCTGAAACTGGACCAGTCTGCGCTCCCCCAGGGAGAGGCAAGCAGAATCGACTGGGATGGAACGCTCCCCAGCCCTGCACTTCAGGAAGGGGCCGAAGTTGGCGAGCTCTATGTGAAACGTCCGCTCAATCTGAATCCGCGGGCCTGCGCTTGGCAGGCTTTCTCGCGGCGTTCGCGGTCCCAAGCCCTTGATGGATGCCCTTGACCTTGGCAGCAATTCTGCTTGAGGATGGCTCCTCCTTCCCGGTACTTCCTCTAGAGACGGCCGAGGGGTCTGAGCTGGTTGGGCCTGAAGAAAATCGGACAAGAGAAGGGGGATACAGGTACATCCACTCAAAATCGGTCCCTGGACCCCTCCCAAGGCTCATCTCGTGTAATTTGTTATCTCGGACCCATCTTTGACGGTCTCGAGAAAGGGGCCCGGAGACTGAAAGAGGCAAAACACCCTTCGAACCCCCAACCTTGAACCTCGCCACCCCTCCTTCCTGCTGGCCGGAGCCAGCGCTGGGCCAAGCCACCTCAGACCCCCAGCCCCGCCGGATCCAACTCCTCCCTCCCTCCCGCCCTCCCATCCCTCCTCCCTTCAAGACTGCTCTCGGTGCGAGCCTTGCGGCTCTCCGTGTACTCGCCTCTGCTCCCATGCTCGGCTGTTCGTCCTGCTGCTCTTCGTCCTGCTGCTCTTCCTCCCCTTCACCCTCCCTCGAGAATAACGACGAGGAGGAGGCGGAGGAGGAGGCGGACGACGAGATTCCCGCACGTGTCCCGCCTGGGTCCTCGCCGAGCCCCCGCGCCAGGCCCGACGAGAACCCCGCGCACTGCCCACGGCGCCTGGGCCACGCCTCCTGCTCCGCCACGGAGGCCGCCCGCAGGGACCGACCGTCCTGGCATTCCTATAGTCCTGCCACGAAATGCTCTCAGAACCCCAACATGTTCTAAGAACAAAAGCAATATTCTCAGAACAGGAGCCCGATGTGATATACCGAGACAGTCCCAACCAGGCGTGTTCTGGGAACGTTTCGTGGGAACCACAAAAGGTTCTTAGAACATTGTTAGGGAGGAGGAGGAGGAGGAGGAGGAGGAGGAGGAGGAGGAGGAGGGAGGGGAGGAGGAGGAGGGGGGGGGAGGAGGAGGAGGAGGAGGAGGAGGGAGGAGGAGGAGGAGGAGGAGGAGGAGGAGGAGGGAGGAGGAGGAGGAGGAGGAGGAGGAGGAGGAGGGAGGAGGAGAGGAGGAGGGAGGAGGAGGAGGAGGAGGAGGAGGAGGAGGAGGAGGAGGAGGAGGAGGAGGAGGAGGAGGAGGAGGAGGAGAGAGGAGGAGGAGGAGGGAGGAGGAGGAGGAGGAGGAGGAGGAGGAGGCGGAGGAGGAGGAGGAGGAGGAGGAGGAGGAGAGGAGGAGGAGGAGGGGAGGAGGAGGAGGAGGGGAGAGGGGGAGGGGAGGGGAGGGGGAGGGGGGAGGGGAGGGAGGAGGAGAGGAGGAGGAGGAGGAGGAGGAGGAGGGTGGAGGAGGAGGAGGAGGAGGAGGAGGAGGAGGAGGAGGAGGAGGAGGAGGTAAGACTGTGGGCACGCCAGGGCGCTTCGCCACTGCTTCGAGCCCCCTGGTGGGGAAGGGCGGGCGCCCCCCGAGGCCCCGCGGCCTCGGCCCCCCCGCTCCCTGCTCCGAGGGGAGGGCGGGGCCGGACGCTGCCTGTGGCGCCCCCGGGACGGCTCTGGAGGGTTCCAGAGGAGGATATGTCCAAGAGGAGAAGCAGGAGACACAAGAGACGTTTATTCCGGTCGACGGCCGAGAACCATCAGGTAAGCCAAATCAGCCGCGACCCCGCCGCGGCTGTTGTGTTGGGCCCCTCTCCAGGCGGGCAAAAAAGAGGGTGAGGAGGAGAGTAGGGGGACTCGGACGCGTGGACATCAATATGAAAACACCAGCCATCCGCTCGTCAGAACACGGGCCACACCGGGAACGAGCAGGCGCCAACGAAGCGGAAGAGACTGTTTGCAGGTAGTCCTTGCCTGGGCGAAGGGATGTGTCCAGGAGGAGAAGCAGGAGGAACCCAAGACAGGAGAGGGAGGGAATACACAATACGCAGGAGAGAAGCATAGCACACTATCAGCAACAAATCGAGGTGAGCGGAAGGAAAAGAGAGCAATTGGCTGCATCCCCAATGCCAGCACAGGTGCGCCAAACTAATGTCGGACTACGCAGACATGCATCTCCGATGCTACGCGGAGTGACGCGTGCCAACAAGCCATGCCACTTCAGGGCAAACACCTGGTGAGGCTGCCCAATCAAGAGAGGGGCCCGGCGTCTTGGACTCAAAACATGAAGCGCAAGGCCGAAGCTACGCCGACCCGCCCCATCGAGGCCAACATGCGCCCAGCCCTGGGCTCCCAGCCAAGGATCTCCGACGACCCACTGTCTTCGACCCCCCAGCTCCAGAGCTCTCGACCCTCTTCCCGGAGGGTTCCAAAGGGGCTTTTGGGGGAGGGGGTTTTCCAGGAGGGGTCTCCCAGGGGCTTCCGCCCCCCCTGTTCCGCCGAGGCCCCGAGGCCCCCTGCAGGGGTTCTCTGGAAAAGCCCCTCCCCAGAAGCCCCCTTTGGCGCCCTCCGGCTCCTCGCGAGGCCCGCGCGGGCCGAAGAGCACTCCTCAGGAGGCCCAGGAGGGCCCCCAGAGGCTCCCGCAGGGCGCGCAGGAGCTGGGGACGCCTCGAGCCAGGAGCGCCTTCGGTGACCCCGGACGAGGGGGGGGGAGGGCAGGTCCCGGACTAGGAGGAGGAGGAGGAGGAGGAGGAGGAGGAGGGGAGGAGGAGGGGAGGAGGAGGGAGGAGGAGGAGGAGGAGGAGGAGGAGGAGGAGGGAGGAGGGAGGAGGAGGGGAGGAGGGAGGAGGAGGAGGAGGAGGAGGAGGAGGAGGAGGAGGAGGAGGGGGAGGAAGAGGAGGAGGAAAGGAGGGGAGGAGGAGGAGGAGGAGGAGGAGGAGGAGGAGGAGGAGGAGAGGAGGAGGAAACGAGGGGGGGAGGAGGAGGAGGAGGAGGAGGAGGAGGAGGAGGAGGAGGAGGAGGAGGAGGGAGGAGGAGGAGGAAAACGAGGGGAGGAGGAGGAGGAGGAGGAGGAGGAGGAGGAGGAGGAGGAGGAGGAGGAGGGTCAGGGGGGAGGCAGCTGGGCGGGGGGGCGGGGGGATGCACCGCCGTCCGCGTGTGCGCAGCGCGGGCCCCGGTGCGCACGCAGGGCCCTCGCGGGGCCGCTCCCCTGCCACTGCCGCCGTCCATGGCCACCGCCGTGCGGCCGCGAGCTCCCGCGGGCACTCGCCGCGGGCTCGCCATCGAGGAGGCCCAGCTCGCGACGCGGTAGCGCACGACGGGGCGCGTGCTCGCGGACGGCTGGGGACTCGGCAACGGGCGCTCAGGCGGTTCCCCCTGCGGCGGCCACGCCAAGGACCTCCGCGCGCAGGCGAGGAGCTGGTGATCCTGGCTCGTGCTGGAGCCCGTCCTGGCATGCGCGGGATGCCGGCCACATTCGACATGGGAGCTCGGTGCGCCCAGCTCGCGCTCTGAAAAATGCCTGGCGGGTCGCACCCTGCGAAGCAGCCTCGGGCATCGCGCCGCGTGGCGACCCGCAGGGCCCGCGACGAGGCCGGGTGGCCTCTCTGCCGGGCCCTCGCGGCCCCCCTTTTTCCGAGGACTTGGCTCGGCGGCTCGACGAGGGACGGGCCCCCGAGGAGAGGAAGGGACACCAGGGTGGATTTTTACATCCTTTGAGGCGCCTCGCCCTGAGGGCCCCCTCCCTCGAGACCCTGCACCTTTGCACCACCGACTGGTGTGACCACTAGTTGGCTCGGCACGTCGCCCGCTCGCCTCTCTTCGAACCACCGACTGGTGCGACCGCCGCGCGCCCGCCCCCTCTCGTCGCTCGGCTCCTCCTGCTGGGCCCGCCGGTGTAAAACGACGCGAAGATCGGGACAAAATCGGATCTGGATAACTCGAAATCTCTGAGAATCGGCGGGTTTGGAGGATGTATTGGGCGCCGCGGCCGCTCCAGAGCGTTCCGGAACGCTCTGAGAGCGCTCCGGAACGCTCTGGAGCGATTTATCCCGATCCTAGCCCTGTTTTACGGTGGGCCCGCGGCAGCTCCGCGAAGCTGGCCCTCGGGGGCAGAGTCTCGGCAGGCCGGGCGCGTTAGCGCGGCGCGCACGCCTCCGAGCTCTGGCCATCGCTCGGGCGTCCCCCCCCGTGCTTTTTGGCGGTTCCGCGCCTCCTCCTCCTCCTCCTCCTCCTCCTCCTCCTCCTCCTCCTCCGCCCAACGATCCAGGATGCTCCTCGACGGTCCTCGCCGGAGGACAGATGCACACGCCCGAGCGATGCCGAGGAGCAGGCCTCTCGCGGCTGCCGAGCCTCGGAGGCAGGCTCTCGCGGGCGCGGCCCGCCCTGCGCGCCTCCCGCCGACGAGCCCCAGGGCCGCCCGCGCCGCCCCAGGAGGGCGTCCGCCGTCAGGGCGGGCCTCCCTCGCTCCCTTTCTCTCTCTCTCTCTCTCTCTCTCTCTCCCTCTCGAGAGGCAGCGGCAGGGGGAGGCCAGCTCAGGGGCGGAAGCATCGAGCTCTTGCCGTCGCTCGGACGTCCATTCCCTCTGCGTTTTGTTCGGTTTCGTGCGTGGTTTTGTTCGCTTGGATGGTCCAGGATGCTCCTCGATGGCCCTCGCCGATGAAAACAGGCACACGTCCGAGCGATGCCAAGAGCTGGAATCGGCAGTGCAGCGGCGACAGGCCAGCGATAGCGATGGGCCCCCGATAGCGAATCCGCACGGGGTGGGCCATCAAACCCCCATCGGCCATGACGGGGCGACTGGAGGGTCGGTGCATCCCCCCCCACTCAGCCTATCCCCCCCCCGTACACGTCGGTCGGGAGAAGTTGGTAAAAAAAACTCAAAGTAGAAAGGCGGACACAGTGGATTGGGTCCAGGCCCTCCCAGAGAACAACAAGACACAGCAAAATCATGCCAATTATTGAAGCACGAAGGCGCTTGAAGTAGATTGGGATCTACTTTCAACGACCAGCGCGTAACGTAGCCCCTGGCCTGACCGGCCTCCCTCTGCCCGATTCCTTCCGCGGCCGCTCCTCCGCTCGTTCCGCTCGGCCAGGCGCACTGCGCCACGGCGTAGCCCGCCGCAACTTCGACCGCGGCGAGCTTACACGTCGGTCGGAAGAAGTAGGTAAACATATGAAGTAGGAAGGCGGATTAAGTTGATTGGGTCCAGGCCCCCCCCAGAGAATAACAACGCACAGCAAAAGCGTGCCGATTCTTGAAGTGGGAAGGCGCTTGAAGTAGATTGGGACCTGGGAGTCCAAAAATACCTACTTCCAACGACCGGCGAGCTTATGGCAACGACGGACCGCCAAACACTTCGGAAAAGGCAGATGGATAGCGGCGACCCCGCGACAGCGGAGGTCAAACAAAACGGGGCCAGAGCAGCTGCGGGCGAAGGACGGCGCCGCATCGCCGATGCACTGGCGATGCTGGGACGGAGAAAATCGGGCTCCTGATCGAGACGCACCGCCGATGCGTCGGCGATGCGGCGCGACTGACCCCCTCTATGGCAAGTCTGCGTCGTGACCAGCCTGGCGCAGACTTCTGACATCGCGTGCATCGGCCAACCTGGAACGATCGGCGGCATTTCGATCGCCAGATCGTTCCATATTGGCCGATGCTGGGCCACTGGCGGCGTTCAACCTTGAACGCCCGCGGCGGGGTCGCTGCCGCGGCGGCACGCACGAAGCTGCCGTGAGACGTGCCCGCGGCGCGCAGCGGGGCGCCTGGTCGGCGCGGGGAAAAAGCGAACGATACCCTCGGGTGCTTTCGGTGGGGAGTCGGGGGCGGTGCTGGCCATTGCGTCAGGGAGACGAGTCCCGAGCAGAGCAGCACGACACCGACGACAGCACCGATGGCAACCACGACCACGACCACGACCACGACGACGACCACGACGTGCGCCCTTCGTCGGAGGGCTGGAGGAGGGAGGAGGACGAGGAGGAGGAAGAGGAGGGCGGCGTGTGACAGACTCTTGCGCCTTCAGATACTCAGCTACTCAGGAGGAAGAGGAGGGAGGTCGTCAATGGAAGGTCGGTCTCGGCATCAGCCACTTTGATCATGTTGCAGATCGCGACAGAAGAGGCGACGCAACCCATGCCAGAAGCGAAGAACCTCACGTTCTCGGAACCGCTCCTGACGCCATCACATCCACTACTTCTTCAACCGCTCGAGGCTGATATAATCAAGAAGGAGGCAGAAGGCGTGGAGGATAAGCACTCGGGGAATCCTTGGAGACACGAAATGCGCACTCTAGAGCAAGCGCACTCCTCCTTTCCCTTCCTCACTCTCACGCTGGCGAAACGTGCACGTGGATCGTTTGGTAGGAGCCCCGCTATGGGGTCTCCTCGACACAACGCCGCTCTCTAGGCCAAGAGCTCGCGCAATTTGACACAGTTGGGCCAGACGCGAAAACTCCAGGGCGGACTGCTCTGCAAGCGTAGAAGCGCGCCCGTCAATTCTATAATGTCGCCCTCCCCTGTCCCTTCTCCCTCGCCCGTTCCTTTCGTCCCTGATGCCGCGCTGATCCACATATTCGCCTTTCTTCGAGTAACCCGTTCACACCGCCCGAGCCAATTCCGTTCTACCCGGCCGCCCCCTCGAAGACGCCGAGAGGCGCCTCCACAAGTGATCGGGCGTGGAAGACGCAGCCGCCCTCTCTCCCCCCTCAGAACATCTCCAATACGCTGCTGCCCGGAAGAAGCAGAGACGGAAGCGGGTCCTGGGCCCCCGTGGGCTTGTCCCAATATCGAGTTCGGGTTCCGAGTAAATCTTTGACGGCCCTCAGCGGCGGCAAGCCTCGGGACCCGTCTGCCTCACGACCCGTCTGCCTCATGGCGAGCAGTGATCCAGGGTGCTCCCGCCCAGGGTGCTCCCGCCGTCTCGCGCCACCCTTCGGCGGTGGACCAGCCTCCCTTCAGTAAGCCTCCCTGTCGTGAAAGCGGCCTGGGACCGAGACCGACGGACCCGGGCCCGCAAAAATGGCGGCCGCGACGCCCCCTCGCGAGCCGAAAGCGGCCAAGTCGCGACTCGACGTGCCAGGCCGACCAGCCATTAACTGGGGGAGCTGTGGTCCTTACCCCCCTGGGGGAACCCGTCGCCTCGACGATCTCTCGAGAGAGGTGTCGAAATCGATGGGCCCCCCAGGGGGGTAAGGGTTGCAGCTCCCCCAGTTGAGGCTGGCCTGCCAGGGCAGGAGGGCCTGTCCGCCCCCGAACTGTGGGCCCCCCTAATTAAGGGGCCCTGTGGGCCTCGTGGAGGAGGGGGGGGGCCCGGGAGGCCGCCTGGGCCTCCCAAGACGGCTCAAGAGTGCCCCAAGACGGCCCAAAGAGGGGCCCCAGAGGGGGAGCCTGAACCAACAACCCGAGCCCTCCGCCCCGAAGCGGCCCCAGAATGGACCTAAGAGGCGCCCAACAGGGCCCAAGAGGCGCCCAACAAGGCCCTCCCGGGAGCGCCTGGGGCCACCTTTGGGGTCACCTCTGGCAGCGCCCGGAAACCTGCCACCCGCCGCGGTCCAGGCAGACGAGGAGGAGAGAGGGGAGGGGGAGGAGGAGGGGGAGGAGGACGAGGAGGAGGAGGAGGAGGAGGAGGAGGAGCAGAGGAGGAGGAGGAAGAGGAGGAGGAGGAGGAGGAGGAGGAGGAGGAGGAGGAGAACCGTAGCACCCCGCAGATGCGGATAAGAGTGAGGGGGTGATGGGAACGTCGGCAGTTTGCGAGACTCCGGAGAACCCCGCCGCAAGCGCGAAAGTTCCGCAAATTATACAACGAAACCGCCGCAAGCGCCGATCTTTTCGTTAAGCCAATGTGGGTAGGTGGCGGGTGGGTCGCTGTTGGATCGCGGGTGCAGAAGGCAGAAAATCCACGCCAGAATAATCCGCCGACCCCTTGGGGTCACGGCGTGTGAGATTCTTCCTCCTCCCCAAACCCCTTCCCCGGGAGCCCGGTCCGGCCGGTTTGGAGGGGGGGTGGGGGCGGGGGGCAAAGGTCTCATCAGGCCCCACAAGGCCCCAAAGGGCTCCTACCAGCCCCCACGACGGCCCAAGAGGCCCCCGAGACGCTCAAAGGTCGGCCCAAGACGCCCAGGATCTCCAAGACGGCCCCAGAAGCCTCCCAGACGGCCCAGGAGCTTCCAAGAGCATTTCCAAGAGGGGCCCAAGATGCCAAAATCGTCGAATTCCGATCGGAAAGCGTACATTTCCATCATACGCGACTTTTCGGCCTTCAAGGCGTTGAAGAGCACCCAGGGACAATGAATGACCGTTCGGTCCCCTCACTCTGATAAGGATAATGAGGAGGATAAAAGAGGACGAGGATGAGAAGCATACGGAGATACGAGATAGAGAAGGAGGGAGAGGGAGGGGGAGGAGGATGAGGAGGATGAGAAACAGGAGGAGGAGGAGGAGGAGGAGGAGGAGAAAGAGGAGGAGGAGAAGGAGGAAGAGGAGGAGGAGGCGGAGGAGGCGGAGAAGTTGAACTGTCTGCGTCAGGGGCAAGCGATCTCCCAGCCCGCCAGTGAGCATCTTGCGCCCTCGGCAACGCCTGCCCATCAAGTGCTGCCAGAGGCGGCGCCTGCCGTAAGGCGTCCACAAGGGATCCGGGGACGCCCAGATCGAGGAGGAGGCACGCAACTCTAGGTCGGGCCTGTCCCTACAGGCCGATTTTCGATGAAAAATGAAAAATTGTCAAACAAATACTCACAAGTGGTAAACAACAAAAAAAAACTCTAAAAATAGACCCCCGACTATTTTTGACTACTCTTGAATATTCCTCCTGTAGAGGGACAGGCCCGACTTAAGACCAGCTCAAAAGGGGAAGCATCGAGCAGCAATCGGCGATACATCGCCGATGTATCGGCGATAAGCCCCCAATAAGCGAACCCGCGCACTCCTGGGCGGGGTGGGGCTATCAGGCCCCACATTTCCTATCGGCGATGAGTGGGCGATTTGGGTGCCGATCCGTTCCACCCTTAGCCTATCCCCTCCTATTGTTGCCCCTGAAGAACACTCCTGTAGAGGCCTCCTGGATGGGGTCGGAGTAGATGGGGTCGGAGGACCGCGCCGCATCGCCGATACATCGGCGATGCATCGGCGATGCAACGGCGATGCACCGGCGATGAGGCGTCGACGTCGGCGATGTATCGGCGACGTCGGCGTGGAGAAAATCGGGCTCCACATCGAGCCGCATCGTCGATGCATCGGCGATGCGGCGCGATCCTCCGACCCCATCTACTCGGACCTCATCTAGGAGGCCTCGATCCTGACAAGGCAAAAGGACCCCAACAGACAGGTGCGAATTGTTTCCTTAAATTTGATTTCTGGGGAGGGGCGAGGAGGCGAGGGCTGGGGGGAAGGGTAGGAGACGCGGAGACGCCGGGCTCGCGGGCAGCTCAGGCCACGATGCGACGTCACGAGGCTTTTCCGCCGCCCGCCCTGGGGGGCCCTCGTCGCTGCAGCTGGATTCGTGTCGGAATTCTGGGCAGAGCGCGCTCCAGGAGCGGTCCAGGGACTGGCTGCGTCGGTGCTGTTTGGCCTGAAGAGCTACGCGACGGCTCGAGGGGTGAGGCGCCCAACCTCGCGGCGGAAGGCGGCGGGCGGGCGCTGGAGGCAGGCGGAGGTACATCGAACGCGATTCGTGCGAGAGGGCTGTCGGAGGGAGCCGCCTGACAGCGGTCCAGGGATTGGTTGCATCGGCGCCGTTTGGTTGGAAGGACCACGCTTGGACTTGAGTGGGAGTCGCAGCCAACCTCGCGGCGGAAGGCGGCTGGCGGGCGCCGGAAGCAGGCGGAGGTAAATCGATGATGCATGTGAGATCGATGGCGCGATGGCTGTCCGAAGGAGCCGCCTGGAGAGCAGGAGAGGGCCTCGCCTCCAGGGAAGACGCGCGGCGGCGGAAGACGGCGCGGGGCCGCGGCTGCTGGCGGAGGTAAAGAGACGGCGATGGAGATCGCCGCCGAGGTCAGGCTGCGGTCCTGCATCCTCGTCGGTGGAATCCGGCGGGGGGGAGCCGTGGAAGCAGGCGGAGGTGAAGCGCGTCCGATCTCGAGCGCGGAAGTTGGCGGGGGGGGGGGCATCCGGCCTTGCGGGCGGCACTAGGCCGTGCAGTGAAACCGTATCATAGGGATGAGTAGCTTTCGAAGGGCGCCCCTGCACCGATGCCACGCGCGGTCCATCTGGGCTTATGTCCCCCTCCATGGGCTTCTCCTTGGACGGCCAAGGGCCTTGCATCCTTACCGCGCACCCTGACTATATACCCGATCGCGCTGTAGCTGTTTTGGCCCAGGCCGGAGTCTCCCCGAGCCGCCGGCCAGGGCAGTCATGGCCGATAACGAGACTGCGCGGCGAGGGCGGCGAAGCGAGGCCACGAAGGCGCTGAACTCCCTGGCTGGGGAGTTCGAGCTGGACACGTTGTCTCACCGTCCACGGGCCCAGGAAGTGGTTGACCTCTTCTCGGCATTCTGCGACGTCGCGCCTGCCGAGCGGGCGCCGGAGCTCTGCGCGGCAAGGGACCTGTGGATCGAGAGTGGCGGCGGCGGCTCCTTTCCCGAGCTCCCAGATCCTGGAGCGGACGAGGACGCCGACGACGGCCCCGACGGGCGCGAGCGGGTCCCTGGACACGCAGAGTGCCGGGCGCAGGCGGGCAAAGCGTTTCGGCTGAAAACCAGAGCCTTCATGCTCACCTTCAACTGCTTGGCCTTCGTCGCGTCCCCGGAGTTGTGGCAGGCGTGCCAGTCGTGGGTAGAGGATCGGAAGAAGGAGTTCGGCATCACGTACTGGAGTGCAACCATGGAGGAGTCCCTGCATTCTACTGACACTGGCCGCGCGCACTTGCACTGTTACTTTTCCTGGCACGGCGGGGGGGGCAAGGGCGTGGACCACAGGACTCTGGACTCCTGGGTCTTCAGGGGCGTGAAGCCGCGCGTGGGCAAGAATACCGAGGGGCGAGGCCCGTGGTACTGGATGAAAGCAACACAGCGCGGACATTTCTACGCATGGGTAAAGAAGCAGGGAACTTTCGAGAGCGCATCAAATTATCCTCCCTGGGAGACGGGATGGTCTCCGGAGCGCGCCTGGGTCATGGTCTTGCACAGGCAGCACATGCTGGGCCACGCGCACTTCATGGGTCTGTCGACGAAGCTC